TCTCCCTGGGGGCCATGGCTCCCTGGTCAGCGCAGACCCTGTTGTGTGCTGGCCCCTAGGGCACCCAGACTCCTGCTCCCGGGCAGGCTCTGGGAGGGAGACCAGAGTGTGGCTCCTATTAGCTCAGACGTGTCACTCTGTCCTGTAGCTACAGCCTGTACCATGAGCTGGAGTCCCCCTCCTAGTCGGCCAGCAATACCTTCAGGGCCAAGAACAGGCCATCATGAAGCTCAGGGGCCAGTGCGTGGCTGGGAGGCAGGGGAGGGCTCGCTCTGGGCTCAGGGAGTCTCTGGCTGGGCTAGCAGGGGCTGTGGAGGGCTGGCCTTCCAGCTCCTCTGCTGACCAGCCCTGGGACTGGAGCCATTTACCTCCCCTCTCTGGGCCTCGCTCTCCTCTGTGCAATGGGGTGATGCTGAATGATCCCTCCCATGGCAGGAACAGGTGGGGTGCTGGTGATTGACCTAAGCTGGGCACAGAGCCTGGATTGCAGAGTGCAGTGGGGGATGGTGAGCACTGTCACCAGTGAGTACCCCTCCCCGCCAAAGCAATCCAGCCCTTCCATGCAGCCCCCAGGCCCCTGGCTGGGAGCCCAGGAGCAGTGGTCGACCACACTCCTGACACCAGGCCCCTGTGTATGGCTCTTCCTCAGCAGTGGGAGATGGTGGGGACCCCGTGACACGGGGCCAGCTCCTCTCTCTGAGCGAAGAAGAACAAAGAAGCCTTTCCCTGGGGTCCCCCAAGGCCACGTAAGAGGGGAGGAGGCTGCCCCTAAACAGTACATTGAAATTCTGCTTCTGTTAGAACCTGAGCGTTGGGGTTTGGTTCTTTCACTTGCTGGGCTGATGAGACACACATGCTCTCCATGACTCCTCCTCAAATGAAGAGCTCTTGCAGGTCCCGGGCATCCTGGACCTGGGGAGGGGAGAGGGGCCAGTCCCCTCTGTGGCATTTGAAGGAGGCTTGTCATCCCAAAGACAGGATGGTTTTGGGTCACGATCCTGGGTCAGGGCTGGAGACAGTCCCTCACTGCTCCTGACTCTGGGGCTGAGGGGGCCTGAGGCATAGCAATGCCCACTGAAGGCGGGGGCTTCAGAAAGAACACACTCCTGGACCCGGTCCTGCCCCAGGACGGTGGCTGCCTTCCCCAGCTCCGGAGGAAGAGGGACATCGTCTGCTTCTTTGGGCAGTGGTCCTCTGACCTACTAGCAAGCACTGGAAAGTTTCTTGTCTGCCTCTGGAAGTGCACCAGGAATGAGTGGGCCAGTCACTGTCCACACACGAACGTGGACAACGTGCTAAGGTAGCATGGGAGGTGAATCTGTGCAAATGGTCTGCGGGTCGGTGGGGCTGGCTGCTTCAGTGCCTCCAGTGGGCCCCCTTTCCCTGGATGGGAATCCTCCTGGAGTCTCGTCTCCGCCCTCGGAGCTCCCTTCCTGCTGGTTTCAGGACCAAGGGAGAGACTGTGGTGTGGCTTGGAAGGCTCCACCCCAGCCTCCTTCCTTCCGTACACATCACTGCTCCCCAGGAAGCAGGGGCTGTTGCTCCCACATGCCCTGCGCAAGGCTGGTTTAAGGCACTCATTCCCTCCAAGGCCCAGCCGCTCTGGCTCCATCACATACATCGTGGCCACAGCTGCCTGGCTGGGTGAGGAGTCCAGGAGAGCTCTCCTTTCCCAGGATCAGGGTTCATATTCCTGGCCAGAGAAAGAAGTCCCATCTGTCCTCTGCTAGAGAAGGTGAATTCCTGGGCCGGGTGGCCCTCAGCTGCCTGAGGTCATGGGGGTCCCCCGCAGGTCCCCTGGAGAGAAGAGTGACGGGCACCCCTGTCTGGGAGAACAGTGAGCAGCACCCATCCCAGGCCGCAGGTGCACCCATCACCTAGCACGCTCATCCTCGGACTCACGCCCGGAAACTCTGGCTCGGTTTTTCACAGATGTGTTTTCAGGAGTGTTCAGCACAGCGGTGGTGGGGAGAGCAGGGAATGGAACACAAATGCCCATGGAAATGGATGGGATCCAAGGTCCTGGTGCACAGGGTGGAGAGAAGGCTGTGGGGCAGTAACGTGGGTACGGGGTCTCTATGTGCCAAGAGGCAGACCCTGGGGTCATCTTATGTAAGACTAGGGACCCACTGTGTGCATCCAGGAGCTGGCACATACGTTCTGGAACCAGCTCTAACAGCAGCCTGGCTTTTGGTGGCTGCAGAGAGTGAATGAGGAGAAGCCGCACTGCCTGGGGTTCCCTCCCAGCCTGCGGCACAGCTATTGGCCCCTGGATGCAGTGAGTAGCTCGGCTTGGCTTGGCACGGCAGGGGCGCCCTGTGCTGACATCTTCTGCCCAGCCCTGCCAGTCCCCGGCCCAAATCCCAGCTCCACCGTTACAGACCAAACGGCCTGGGCGCGGTTCTTTATGCTGGGGCCTCAGTTACCCTGGGGACTGTGGAGAGCAGACACTCCCCAGGCGTCCACCCAGTGGCTGTGCACATTCCAGGAGGCAGAAGAGATATAAAGCTGAGGAGCCCAGCCCATCTGGTGAGGGAGGGGGCGTCAAGGATCACCTCCCCCATCTGCCCAAGGGGCTCTGCAGTACCCAGCTCCACGGGAGAGGAAAACAGAGCTCCTGGTGCGTGGCCACAGGACATGTGCTGCTGAGCAGAGGCATGGAGCAGAGGGCTGGGGAAGGTGGGTGGAAGATGCCCCCTCCACGGGCAGGTGTGAACTGCCTTCTTGGAGGGACTGAGATGCTACTTCGCTTCCCCCAGTGTGGGGTTCTGGTCATCCCGTGCTGGGTGTTCTCAGCAGGCAGGAACACACTCTGGGGTCCCCATAAGCTCGGGCCACATCCTCAGCTTCCTGAGCTCAGCTCTGACCAGGGACCCTGCCTGGGACTAGGGGACCGTGGCTGCTGAGCTGGGGTGTGGCAGAGCCGGTGACGCTCCCCCGACCCCCAGGAGCTGTTCAAGAAGGCGGTGCCCTACCACTGCCTGGGCTGCATCTGGTCCCAGCGGGACAAGAAGGGCAAGGGGCACCTGGCTCCCACCGTGGGCTGCTGCTTGGAGGATGCATGTGGCTGTCAGGCGCAGGGCCGGGGGTGGGGGTGGGGGGTGGGGGGGTGGAGCACTGGATCCAGGTGGCCGAGATAGGCCATGGGCGGGCCAGGGATCCCCTCTCCAGAGTTAGGCAACTCCTCTTTCAGTCGGAGTTAGGTCTCCAGCACTCTAGCTGTTCCTCCAGGCTGTTGGGTAACTGGGGGTGGGTGTGCTTCCTTCCCAGAGCCGCCCCAGCCTGTCCCCAGGAAGCCCGGCCCCTTTCGCTCCTTCTGTGGGCACTGCACCCCACCTGCCCAGGACTGCCCAGGACTGCCCGGGACTGCAGGGAATGCTCACAGCCCACAGAGCCTTAAGCCCAAATGGCCGGACCTGGGAGGAGGCAGGTCTGGGTGCGCCTGGGGAGGCCGCGCTCCGCCCCCAGGGCAGAAGATGCTGGTCCCAGAGAGTGCTGTAGGGTTCTTCATGGATGAAGTGCCTGAGGACTTCGCACTAGCTCACACGGAGGTGCGGCGGCTGCATCGGGGCCCTCCCCACCCGCCCAGTCCGCTTGTGGGAGGCGCCGGGGGCGAGTGAATCCACCCCGCAGCTTCCGCGGGAGGGAGGACGCGGCGTGCCGCCGGCCGGGGCCCCAGCTGCCCCGCGCTGTCGGTGAAGACCCGCCCTGAGCGCGTGCGGGCAGCGTTCCCTGCAGGGGGTCTTCCCGAGGGGCTCGCGGCGAGCTGCGCCCGGGAGCAGCCGCTCAACCGAGGCCCCCGGAGAGCCGGGCGCCCTTCTGCGGGGAGCGGAGAGCGGGCGCCAGCTCCGGGGCCGCTCACGGGGTGCGGGACAGGACTTCGGAAGACGTTATCCAGTGTAACGTGCCTGGCGCTGTTCCGTGTGCTTTGCATAGATTGACTCGCGCAGTCCTGCCACCCGCGGGGCGTAGGTCACGGGATCTCCATTTTGCAGGGTCCCGCCCCGGACCGAGCTGCAGGCGCGGGCGGGAGAGTGGGAAGTCTTGCCCGCGGGGCCTGGCTGTCCCGGGGAGCGCCGCGTTCCCCCCAGCTCGCACGCCCCGCCCTCGACGCGACCCGCCAGTCCTGGCGCCAGCAAGACCGGAAGGGTCCGCTAGGGGGCGCTGCGGCGGTGGGCTCGGGGCGGCGCGGCTTGACCCTCGCAGGCCGCCGTAGGCAGTATAAAAGGCGCGGCGCGCGCGCGTGCGTCCTTTCGCGGCGGCGGCGGCGGCGGCGGCGGCGGCGGGCGGGCGGGCGGGCAGGCAGGGGCGGGCGGTGGGTGACGGGCGGCGGGCCTTCCCGGGAGCCGGCGGCGGCCGGGTAGCGGGGGTCTGGTTGGGGGGCGTCGCGGCCCCCCAGAAGTCCGCGCAGTGCTGCGGGGACGCGCTGAGCACCTGCCGCCCGCGCTCGCCGGTGGGGACCGAGGGGAAGCCGCCGCCGCCGCCGCCGCCCCCGCTCGCGTGGGGCTGCCCTTCGGTTTTGAGAGGCGGGCTGAGCGTCGCGGGTGCGGTGTGGCCGGGCGTCCGGCCGTGTGCGCGTGCGCGGGCCCGGCGCCCCGCTGGCCGGTGCGCTGCCCGCGCCGCTGCCTCCCCGGCCGCGTCTGCAGCGGGCCCAGGGCTGGCACTGCGGGCGGGCCGCCGCGCCGTCAGCCCGGCGTTGCACACGCCCAGGCCGGGCTGGGCCCCGGGGGCGGGGCGGGCGGGCCCGCTGCCCCCCGGAACTCGCAGGCCTGGTGGCCGGGGCCCCGGGAGCCGCAGCGCCGGGCGCGGGCGCGGGCTGCTTTGCTTCTCTAGGGAGTTTGCTGGGAGCCGCGCCTGGGAGGGCGTCTCAGGTGAGTTGACGCGTCGGTGCCGGAACGAGTGCGCCCCAAGTACGACTGTTGGCACACGCAGCCCCTTGTGCCGTGTCCCGTGTCGGGGTCGTTGACCTTCGTGCACGCGGTCGGGGAATCTCCCTACTGCCTGCCCCCAGAGGCGTTGCAGGTGTGGCTTGTGTCACACGTGTGTCATTCGGTGGCAGAAAGAAGAGAGGCTTATCTACGCCCAGTGTTCAGCTCGTGGACGTCTGGATGATGGATAGTCTGACACCCGACCGGGCGCTTTGGCCTTGCCTGAGGCCCCCCTGTGAAAACCCTCCCCGTCTCCTAGTTCTTGGATGGTCTCAGATGGGCGCGTGGTCGTAGGTAGTGGGCCACTCGATTTCAGGTCGGCAGAACAAAGGACGCTTCTCAGTAGTACCCTCCTGCCCCCCGCCTGGCCAGCAGGGGAGGCCTGCCGGAACCTGGTCCGGTTAACAGTAACGAGGACAGCCGACGTTTACTATACTCTCGTTTGGGGCTGAGCGTTTTTGTTCCCTAATACAGGAACGAGGGCAACGGCTGCTGCCCCGGAGGGGCCCAGAGAAACTTCCCGCCGCCATCCAGACCGAGGTAAGAGGAGAGACGAAGCTGGCCTCCAGGCTGGTGGGAGGGGACGGCTGCCCTGCAGGTGCTGGACCTGCCGGCACCCCAGATCCAGCTGCTCTGCTGTACCTGGGACGTCAGGGCAAACAGGAAGTGGCTATTTCTACGCTCAGTGCTCAGAACAGTGAGCACTAAGAATGGTTTGTAGCCGAACATGCCTTAGAGCAGCTGTGGATTGCCGCTTGGCAGGCGCACTACACCTTCGGGCTTCTAGCTAGGAACGCCGAGCATGGCACCAGATGCTTCGGTTTTCTGATTCGTCTGTAAGGTAACACTCACGAGGTTCGAGTGAGCCATGCATGTGTATGAGCTGGTGGCCAGCTTTTGGCACAATGGGACTGACCAGGAGAGGGTCTCCTTCCTGGAAATGATCATTCTGTAGGTCTGGAGGGTTTTTTGGAGTCCTTGCCAAGGGTGTCATGTGTCTGGCTGAGATCTGCTGTGAGTGGCCTGGGGTGTGTCGTCGCTCCCTGCGGGGGCTTCCGAACCCTGTGCCCACATACACCCCTGTTTTAAGGACCCTCGAGACTAGCGGCACAGGAGGCCATCTGGTCAGGCTGGGGAGGGGGAGGGACCCCAGAGGGCTGCACCTGGCTTTGTCCTGCCAGGGAGACAGGTCGGCCCACGTGGAGCCCTGTAAACCAGGGCTCTGGTGAGAGGAGGGGGGTGGCCTCAGTAACCCCACTGGAGTGACAGGTGTGACTGAGGCTTTCCCGCCTTCTTGCAGGTGGAGAGCTCAACACTGGTACGAGCAGGCGAGACCCGGGCTGGCTGCTCGGGGTGACAGACTCCCCAATTCCAGGTTAAAAAAAGGAGAGTAAGATGTTTTGCATTTATTTTCTGAAGCATCTGTGCGGAACGTTGGTGTGTTGGAAAGCAGTCCCGTGTGTTCAGCTTGTGAAGCTTGCACTGGGGAGATGGATCTGCTGGGCCAAGGCAGCGGGAACTGTTAAGTGTTGGTAGACACTGTTCCGGATTCCAGAAAGTCCAGGCGGGCTAAGGCAGAGAGAAGGGGTCGGAATAAACAGGGCCCAGCGGTCGTTCGCAGAGGCACAACCAGACACCGCCGTGGCCTGGGCTCTGCGATCAGGCGGGGAGCCACTTCAGGGCCGGCACGCCCCAGCTTGGAGGTCCCAGGCCTGTAGGGGTGGCCCAGCGTGTGTGCCTCATGGAGCAGGTGAAGGATGAGCAGGCTCTCCCCCTGGCACCCTGTGTCCTGCTTCTTAATCCTCCAGCCATTGTGTTCTAGAGGGAAGTAAAATCTTTGCAGCATTTTCTAATCGCCCAGAGCCCACGATTCTAATTTTTTTTTCATTAAGATTTATTTTAGAGCATAAGCTGGGGGTGGGGGTGGACAGAGGGGGAGAGAATCTGAAGCAGAGTCCACACTCAGCCTGGAACCTGACGTGGGGCTCGATCCCACGACCCTGAGATCGTGGCCTGAGCTGAAACCTAGAGTAGGACGCTCAACTGGCAGAGTCACCCCGGTGTCCCAATTCTAAACTGTTTTTTGTGCTGTATTTGGATTACCCACCCCACAAGAGAGAAAAACCTAGATGGGGCAGAAAGTTATTTTTTAATGTAGGTAAGGATGAGTTTTAGGAATCAATACTAAAAACATGGGTATTACAGTTGAAATTTTGGAATACATTTTTCAATAAAAGTGTTTCTTTGTTGGCAAAACTTGAGACTGGTGTTGAATAAACTGTCTTTACTTGGTTTTTTCTCACAGTGTGATTAGCTGAGGCCAGAGCAGGAGGCTGGTGGGTACGTGTGTGCACATGCATGCCCACGCCAGTGGGTGCGGGGAGGAGGGCAGCTCGCTTTCCTGAACTGTCACCTGCTTATTTGGCTGTGTGATGTTCAGGCGTTCCCGCATAGCCTTTCCCAGGCATTGTAACCACCGGGAGTTAAGCCTGCAAAGGTCAGCGGCCCCCAGGGACTTCAGGAGTAGGATCTCCTGCCCACCGTGACCTGGGATGGGGACGCAGCCCTTCCCCCAGCTCCCTGAGCCTCCTGGTGTTTGGGATCTCTTAATAAACCCTGTGACTGCTTGTGTGGATGTTTTGAAACCTTGCCTTTCGTCAAAACAATGCTGGGCGTTTTCACTTCCCAGAATGGAAGCAGAGGGAGCCACCTGCCGACCCCCTCCATGGGGTAGGTCACAGCCTGCACATTCTCCATTCAGTGTACCAGCCTGGGCTCAGCAGTGGGGCCCCCACGGGAAGCGGGTGTCCAGCTCCTGCAGCTTCCCCTTGAGGAGAGGCAGGGAGAATGCTCGGCTCTTTCCTGGATGATGGGTTTTTCACCTAGTGGTTCATGGGGATCTGTGGAAGTCGTGCGCGCTGGACTGTAGGAGAGGGTCTGGCACGGGAGGAGCCCGGCTCTCCGTCGGTCCCTTCCTTTGGAACTGCAGCACCCGCCAGCAGCATCTGGCATCCTATGACCACACCCCTCCGGCCCCCCAGAACGTGGCTCTGGGAGAGAGCGTACCTGTGATGCCCGCTGAGGCCTCTCCAGCTGATGGGGACCCGGAGGACCACGCCGCGTTCCGTCCAGCCTGGGCAAGAGCAGCCCCCCACCCCTGAGCTCAGGAGGCTGAGGGCGGGTCTGGGAGGCAGGGCTCCAGCGTGGCGTGAGGGAACCCAGAGACACTCACAGAAAAGCTGTTTATTTACATCACACGTTCTTCAAAGTAACAGAGTCCCGGGTGAGTCCTTCAGCCAGCCCTTGTGGTCAGGCTCCTGGTGCTGCTCCTGCCCCCCCACCCCCTTTCCAGCCATGCGGCTCCCCTGTCTGGGTGGTTGGCGTCTGGGGCTGAGGGAAGGACCCCTTCCCTGGCTCGTTGCGGGTGGATGCAGGCCAGGCCTCCAGCTCCTGTGGTCCTGTCCTTTGCTGGGTGGCAGGGTGAAGAGGGAGGAGGACCCAAGGGCGGGAGTGGCTCTCTGGGGCCCCAGGCAGCCCCCTGGGAGTTGGGAGCGGGGGGCTGGGAGCCGGCCATCACGAGTACTTGGTGTTGGAGATCTTCTTCCAGAGCAGGGTCTTGAGGTGGCTCAGCACCAGCGAGTGGTGGGCCTCCACCTGGCTGGCCAGCCCGCTCAGCGTCGTGCAGGTGCGCAGCTGCTTGCCCAGCTCCTCGTGCAGGTCGGCGGGGGCGCCGGGCAGCAGGTAGTCCCGTAGCAGCTCGCACACCTTGGCCAGGTTGGGCTGGATGAGGTCGCCCTTGCACTGCCTCATGAGCTTGTCGCAGGGGGCCCTGCAGTCCCGGCCGTAGGTGCAGTCCGAGCTGCGCTCGCAGTGGCGGCCCCGCAGGAAGCGGCGCACGGCGGCCTCGGGCGCCACCTGCTGCAGGTCGGCCATCTTGAAGTCGTACTTGGCCGTGTAGCCCACGTTGGCCAGCGTGGTCTCGCACATGTAGAAGGTCCCGTAGGCGCCATGGAAGAGCTCCTCCACAAACTCCAGCAGGCCGATGGCGATCTTGGCCCTCCAGGGCCACGCGGGCCCCAGCCACCGCTGCAGGGCTGCATGCAGGGCGGGGGGCAGCAGCGGGCGCAGGAGGGGCGGGAGAGCGGCCCCGTGCCAGGAACCGTGTGGGACCCCCTCGGTGACATAGAGGTCCCCGCAGGAGCCCAGCAGCCGGGACGCGTGCTCCTCCTGGAGGGACAGCAGCAGCAGGAACTCGTTCCGTTGGAGCAGGGCCCACACCGACTTGGCCTCGGCCAGGGACACCCTGCTGTCCTTGTTGAAGTCGGCCATGAGCAGGACCTGCCCAACCAGCGCGGGCAGGGAGGGCAGGTCTCCCAGGTTTGCCTGACACGGGAGACCCAGAGAAAGGGAGACCGCGTCATTTCAGGGCCAGCGAGCCTGACTTGGTGGTGGGTTTCTACGTTGGCAGGGTGCCCGCCTTGACCTAGTGGGCTAGGACCCCTGGGTGTCCGCTGGGTGCATCTGCCAGCTTGGGAGAGCCCAGCCTCCAAGCACACGGAGGGGACAGCCCAGGGCTGTGCAGAGCCCCCTCGCCGACCACTGGTGCACCGTCCTTTCTCCAAGAGCCGCTCCTGGGGCCCTCGTGTCCCTGCATCTCCACTGGTGCTCGGGGAGCTGGGGAGCGGGCACTTGGATCTGCTCTCACCCTGCTTCCCATGCGCGGGGTCCTCTGCACCCAGTAGGTGCTCCCCTGAGCGAAGGTCTGCCTGGAGCTGAGGTCCAGCCAGATGCCTGGCTCCTGCCCTGAACTCCGCACGGCCCCCAGGAGCCAACTGACCTTGAGAAAGCTGAGGGTCATCTCCCGGAACTCCTTAATTGAGGTGCCCCGAGTGGGCTTGTCGAACAGCACCAGATCCTGCCGGGGGGCCGGGTCCGACCTGGCCTTGGGGTCCAGGCCCTCCTCGATGCCGCACTTAATGGTCACCTCCTTGCCCTGCCACAGCCCACTGTACACCTGCATGGGGCCACAGGGGTCCTCGAGCAGACGTCCCCTCCCGCTGCACCTTGTGCCCGAGCCCCGGGCCCCCAGGGCTGACCCCAGCCAGACCCTCCTGGGCTTACCTGCTGGCCTGGGACGGAGGACAGGCACGTCCTCCACTCTACCTTGTGCAGGTTGCACAGGTCCTGGCAGATGGAGCCGGAGATGATGCCCTTGTGGTACTGGTCACACTGGGGACAGGAAGAAGACACCAGGAAGTGGCCTGAGGAGGTGGGGCCCCTCCCCCCACCATGCACATGTGGCAGGTTGAGGTCCCATCGCATCTGCCGGTTGCCCCCTGGCTCTTCAGCCCCTCCACGTCTCAGAGGGGCCCCCAGACCACAGCAGCCGGGAACCAGCAGGCTCCGGCCACACCTGACCACGCGGAGGGCCAGGGCACCCACGGCCTGGCAAGAGCCTCTGCTCACTGCGGCCCCTCGCAGAGTCCGCGGCGACCCCCACCTCCTGTGAGGTGCGCAAGTCTGGTCTCCCTGGCGTGGGCTCTCCCCGGTGCCAGGAAGCGGGAGCAGCAAAGCCCGAGACACGAAGGGGCCCTGCCCCGAGGGTGGCGGGAGGGGGCCCGGCCAGGCCGCCTCATTAGCCAAATGCCCCGGGAACCACTGGCAGCAAGAACCAGGCTGGGCTCCGGAGCAGCTGTCGCCCCCCTGGCCCCTTCCCCTGCAGCCCCCCGAGCCCTGCAGGTCCAGGCTGACCCAAGCAGGAAGGTGGGGAAGCCAGAGGTGATGGAGTCAGGCCCTCCCCCCGGGGCAGGGAGGGGCAGCCTTCTGAGCTCTGGAGCTGGGGGGGCCTCCCTGGAAGTGCATCACCGTTGCCATGGAGCCCGGGCCCTTGCTGGAGCCAGGCTGGCAGGAAGGAGAGGGAAGTGAGTGTGCGGAGTGCACAGAGCAGGGCGCCACCCAAGTGTAGGGAGGACAGAGGGCAGGGCAGGGACGGAACCAGAGGCCCCGCGAAGGAGGCATCAGGAAAGCAGTGGCCGCTCATCACGATGGTAAAGAAAGCGTAAGGAAAACCCATTCCACCACCTTGTTGGGAGTGCCTCCACCCCAAAGGGTCGGCTCTGAGCCCCGGAACCCCCCCCGAAGAACCACAGGGCCTTCAAGGGGGCCGGCCAGGGACACGCTTCTGCCGGGCACCACCCCTCCCCACCAGGGCCAGGGAAGGAGCCTGCTGGCCACGCTGTCCCCCTGGGCTGGGGAGGGGCTCCCCCAGGGGCTGAGAGGGGCAGTGTGCCCCATGGTCTCGGGGCCCATCAGGCTTGGGGCAAGTTGCCCTACTTCCCAGCCTGTTTTCCACCTGCAGGGGGCCGAGTACCTGCCAAACACCCAGAGCCCGTAAGAACCTGACCTGTGACCCCTGGTCGCACCCTCAGACACACTGTGGAACCCCCACGAAGCAGGCAGGTCTCCTCTGGAAAGGAGGGGGCATCCCCACAGCCCAGGGGAGACACCCTAGGGAGACACCCCTGGGCACACAGTTTCCTTGGGCTCAAAAACACCTGCTGACCCTCCAGGTGGCCGGTCCCTACACCCCTAGGCCAGAACCCCCTGCCCTGCCCACTGCCCTCACTCCAGCGGTGCGTCCCTCCCACCCCATAGCTCACTCCAGCCCTCACCTGCCGCTCAGGGCCCATGGCCGCCACCCGCTGCGCCATCCTGGCTGCCCCCCGCCATCCTGGCCCTCCCCAGCCCCACCCTCACCCTGAGCTGTCCAACAGCAGGGCTTCTCCCCACCCCCCACCCAGAGGCCCCACGTCTGCCCTTGTGTGTCCCCCGACCCCCTGGACTATGAGGGCAGAGCCATGTGTCCGGTGCCCAGCTCAGGCCTGCCCCTGGAGGCCACCGGTGAGCCTTTCCGAAGTGTACCAAGAACAGGCAGGAGGCAGGAAGGCTAGGTGTGCACCCGTGGGCCCATGTGCCGTCCTGTGTCTGGGCACATGCAGGCTCCTGACGCCCGCCACCTCGCGTGCACATCCACGGACACGTGCCCACTCCTGAGTGGCCCACACGTGTAAACGTGTGCACGCACAGCTCACACTCTAGGCCACGGGCTGCCACTTAGCACGGCCCGCCGCCCCTTGTCCCCCACAATGACCCTACCCACGGCCTCCTTGGGTGAAGCCCTGGCCCCGGGGGGGGGGGGTGCTCAAGGCCACCAGTATCTGTCCACCCCAGCCTCCCTGCTAAAAGTCCTCCCTGCAAACACCTCCGAACATCCCAGCCCCGCTCTCCCACGCACCTGCAGCAGCCCCCCCGCCCCGTCCCTCCCTTCGTCCCTGCCGCACCCAGCGCAGTCAGGTCCATCTCAAAGTCCACCGCGCCGGCGCCTCTGAGGATCCAGGGCCAACGGCATGTGACCCATGTGCATGGGCCAGCACCGGGCAGGGAGGAGCCCTCCCACGAGGCCGGCCCAAGGCGACACTTACGATAACCACCTGGCAGACGTGCCCACGGCAGAGCTCCGCGTGGGACGAGTAGTGCACGTACACCATCCAGCTGCCCACAGAGACGCCCAGCCAGACCAAGAAGACGTACTTGACCCTGAGGCCCGGGAGCCGGCCCTGCTGGGAGAGAGGCCTGTGAGGAAGCACCACGTCCGGGGTGCGTGTGCCCCCTCCACCAGCCCCAGCCTTCCCGGCGGACCCCTCCCTGGGGCCAGCACCCTGCCCTGCTCCAGCTTCCGAAGCTGCCCGTCACGGAGGGGGCGTTCCTGGGCCTCGGCAGGCCCACTCTGGGGTGGGGGCAGGTGCCTAGTGCTCTCAGACTTTTACATCTCACGAGCAGGCAAGAATAAATTTCACAGTAGACGACTCTATGTTGATCTATTTTGATGAATAAAGATATTTTACAAACTTCCCTCCTGCCTTGCTGACCTTTAACCTCTGCGCAAGGTCAGGCTGGAAAATCCGCCGCCCCCTGCCCCCCGTCCTCCGACTGGTGGGCAGTTCCAGCTGAAGCAGGCCCAGCCCGGGGACAGGTATGGAGGCTGCAGGTGCACCGGGCAGGCCTCAGCAGCCCAGGCGCCCTGGGAGCCTTGAAGAGACAGCACCTCGGAGACCGCGAGCAGGCGGCATCGTCCCCAGAACCAAGGGCGCACCGACAGGTGAATAGCTACGCAAAACGGGGTCTGTCCACGTCGTGGAAAATCATTCACTCTAAGAGGAAGGGATCCCAGCTCCTGCCACAACGCGGATGAACGTGGAGGACACGGTGCCGAGTGAGATCAGCCCGGCGCAGAGGGACCAATCCGGACGGATCCACTCCCAGGAGGCCCCAGAGGAGCTGGACCCACAGACACAGGGTCGGGGGTGGCGGTCAGTGTGTAACGGGACAGAGTCCAGTCTGGGAAGATGACTACGTTCTGGGGACAGAGGGGATGGCGCACAACAGTGTGAACACATGGATGCCCCTGAGCTGTGCACTTAAAAGCGGGTAAGAGGAGAAATTTTAAGTCACGTGCATGTTTCCAGATAAAGAATAAATAAGACAGACATCTCGCGGCCCTACGGCCAGAGGCGCTGCCCCCCGTGTGTGGGGGGTGCCGGGAACAGCGTCTTGGGGGCTCAGCCCCTCTACCAGGGTTCCCCAGCTGACGTGCAGAATCACAGGCGCGGGGGGCCCAGACCCACCTGCAGCAGGTGGGCGAGGGCACGGCCTCCCATCCAGCTACCCCTGCCCTGGTGAATCCCAGGCCGCCTGGACTGCCGTCCAGGAGCAGCCAGCTGAGGGGATGGGGTTACCAATGTTCCAGTCAGGGGGGGCCAGGCCCCAGAGAAAAGGGCTGGGACCCAGGGCCAGGAGGTGCTCCGTGCCCCACTGCTTAGCCAAAGGCTGGGGCGGGCTCTCCAGTGAAGACAGGGTAGGGGCCTCTGCTGTGGTCGTCTTTATGGCTCCTCCAGGAGAGGCAGGGGCCTCCCCTCCTGCTTCCTGGGCACCAGTTCACACAGCTGGCCCTCCTGGGAGGGGCTGTAGCAGGAGGACCCCTGAGAGCAGCAAGGACTGGGGTGCGCTGGGCAGAACAAGAGGGCTGGGCCTCAGGCCCACTTGTCCTGCACCACATCTGCTTCCGTCAGATTTGTTCAAAAGGAAAAACAGGAAAGCAGAGAAACAGTGGGTGGGGGGACTGGGCAGCGGGGGTGAGGGGGGTGTTGTTTTGCCAGGACAAGGTCAGAAGACTTCCAGCTGGCAGAGAACAATGCTGTAAGGTGGGGGTGAGTGTGGCCTTAGGGGCGCTGGCAGCCAGGAGGAGGGCAGGCTGAGCAGCGCTGGACCTGGGGCTGAACCCGGGGTGGACTCAGGCTCTCCGAGGGACCACAGGGCCCACCACGGATACGAGCCACACCCCAGCCAGACCCCACCCCCCAACCCCAGGCTCTCCCAGAGACTGTCCCCACCTGGCCAGCTCTGACTAACCCGACATCCTGACCTTAGATGGGTACCTCCTCTAGGAGCAGTCCCTGACCCCCATGGGTCCTACCTCCCACCAGTGAGTGAGCCCCCAGGACAGGGCAGGTCTTACTCTTCAGTGGGTCCCATGCAACTGCTCCCCAACCCCACCTGGCCCTGGTTCCTGGTGGAGCCACTGACTCAGGGGTCAGTAAGAGCCACGTTACCCAGGGGCCAGCACCCCACATGCACGATGGCACCAACCCTACCTCCAGCCCAGGAGGGAAACTGAGGCTCTGAATGTGACCTGACAATAGCAGGTGGGCGGGGCTGGCTCAAACCCCTGGGAACCAGCCTGTCCTGGGTCCTAGGTCAAGCTCTGGGCCTCCCCTGCAGCAACCTGGTCAAGGTCCTTCCCTCAGGGGACAGGGGAGGGGGGCAGTGCACAGCCCACTTCCTGGCATAGGGGTGGGCCATCAGACCCCTCAGCTCCCACCTGGCCTAGAGCTGGGCCAAGACCAGGATGCACTCTGAGGCCCCAGGTGGGCAGGAAGGGTGTCCCACACAGACACAAAACCCAAATGTTTCCTGGCTCTGAGGCTTACCCCACCCCCCACCCCCTGCCCTGGTGGGGAGAGCTGAGGACAGCCAGGCCCGGGGCCAAGGGCACCCTAGCAGGAACCCTCTTGCCCTGGCCCAGGACAGCCTGGGGAGGCCAGGGAGGTGTGGGCTACTTGGAACAGGACTGCACCCGAGGCCATCTCGGTCATGGGGTCGGCCTGGCTCAGACCACCTAAACCAGAAGTGACAGGCTTCTCAGCGGGGTTCCCAAGGCAGCCTGGGCTTCCCCAGTAGACAGCGGGCCACTGGCAGGGACGGTGACTTGTCCAAGGTCATGGTGGGGGTCAGGCACACCCCTAAGCTCGGCTGGCTGGGAGATGACCCAGGGGTAGGTTCTGTCCTTCTGAGAGCCTTTCTATGTGTCCCAAGTTTTCCATAACAGAAAAACAAACCTTACCTCTTTTAAGTGAAAGAAGAGGCACGGACCCGGCGTGCTTTCTGGGCCTCCGGGAGGGGTGGGGCGGTGGGGGTGCAGACCATGGGGGAGGGGCTGCCACCCCGCAGCATCCGCCGCCCCTCTGCCCGCCCCATCAACGCCCCCTCCCCCGCGCCTCCCAGCCCCGCAGCCGCCCCAAGGCCACGCAGCGCGGCGCGCAGGAACCCCGCGCCCCGCAGCCGGCCCCCTGGCTGGCCGCCGCGGCCCGCAGCGAGGCCGGGCGGGCGGGCGCCTACCTGCAGGCCCTTGGAGAAGGGGCAGAAGAGCACCAGGTGCGCCAGGCGCCGCAGCCGCCGCATGGTGGGCCCCGGCGTGCGCGGGCCCGGCTCGGCTCGGCCTCAGCCCCGCGGGCCGGCCCGCAACGGCCGCCCTCTGCCGCCGCCTCCCGCGCGCCCGTGCCCGCGCCCGCGTCCACGACCACGACCACGTCCACGTCCACGCGAGGGCGCGCTCTGCCGGCCGGCCCGGGCGGGGGCGCGGGCGCGGGCGCGGGCGCGGGGCAGGGGCGGAGGGAGAGGAGGGGCGCGCGAGAGAGGAGGAGGGGAGGGACGCGGGAGAGGGGAGGGGCGGGGGCGCCGGGGAGAGGAGGGAGGGGCGGAGGAAGCGCGGCGGGGGCGCGCGGCGGAGGGGCGGCGGGGGGCGGGGGCGCCCGCGGCCCCGCCCCTCGCGCCCCGGCCCGCACCCCGGGCTTGGGCGGCGGGGCTGTCACCGCGGGCCGTCGCGGACGCGCGGGCGGAGGGACTAGCCGGCCGCCTTTAGAGCCCCATGGTGGGGGAGGGTCGGGCGCGGGGGGGCGCGGGGGGGCGCGGCCCGGAGTGGGGGGTCCCGCGCGGCCGCCCGCCGGGCCTGGAGGAGCGGTGGACGCAGCGTGAGCGTGTGCGGGTTTCTTCCCTTTGTTCAGGGAAGCCGCTGCACTCACCTTTCTTGCCGTGCGGTTGCGCCCGCGTAGACCTGCAGACCCGCAGCCGCCGCCGCCTCCGGGCCGTCTCTCTTTGAGCCCCCGCGGCCCCGGCCCTGATCGTGGCCCCGCGTTCCAGAAACCGGGTGCAGCGGGGACAGCCTCGGGTCTGGCCTGTCACCGGCAGAAGCGAGAAATTCGGTGCCCTGGTCCGTGCGGAGCCGCGCGCCGGCCCGGGCTGGGTCAGCGTCCATCGGCGGACGTGGGGTGGCCAGGGGCGCAGCTGCTGCGAACTTTCGCCCTGGGTTTTGTTGAAGGTGGGTGTTCCCGTCGGGCGGACAAGCGCGGGGGAGGCTTGCTGACCTGTGAGCGCGGGGCTCCCGCCGCGTGAGGCGCGTGGGCGGTGGGGCCTCCGTGTGGTCGTCTGCGTTTCCCTGTGGACTGTCCACGTCGAACCCCCTGTAGATCTTCTTTGCCAAAACGTACTTTAATTTTTCCCCCTGTTTTCTTTTGACTGTAGTGTTTGTTTCCTTGTTATTGGGTTTGGGGAGTTCCTCCTAACTTCGGGGTACCACCACATTATCACACTTGATCTTAGCCAAAAGGCCGAGAAGCGATTCCACTACATGACCAAACAGGTGATCTGCAAGGGTTTTTCTCCCAGTCTGTGGCTCGTCTTTCCTAACGTTGATGAAGCCCAAGTGACCCATTTTTTCCTTTTATAGTTTGTGCGTTTCTTGTCTATGGTATCTAAGAAATCTGCCTAACCCAGCGGCGCAAACATGTTCTGTGTTTTTTTCTAGGGTTTTTGGTACAGCAGTGTCCCCCCCTTACCCGCTGTCTCAGTTCGCATGCTGGCCACGGTCCGGAAGCAGATGACCCTCCTTCAGACGGAGGCTCAGGCCTGCAGCTGCCTCCCGCTGCACCACGCCCCTGCGCCCCTCACCTGCATCCTCCCGCCACGTGGGCATCTCATCCTCTAACCGCATCCAGGAAGGGTGAGCACAGGGCCACGTGACATTCGGAGAGCGAGACCACGGCCACGTACCTTTCCCACGGCGTACTCTTACTGTCGTTCTGCTTTCTTATTAGCCATGTTGTTACTCCCTTCCTGTGCCTAGTTTACAAGCTGAGCTTAACCACAGGTACGTACGTGTAGGAGAGAACGTAGTCGGTGGAGGGATCGGCACTATCCGTGGTTTCAGGTGGCCACTGGGCGTCTGGGAACGTATCCCCTGTGGATAAGGGAGGCTACTGAATTGGGTTTTGCACGTAGGTCGATAATTCGGTTTGAAGCTGACTTTTGTGTATGGTGCAGGATATAGGGCAAGGTAGTATTCCGGATTTTGGTTTTGACTTTCGGGGTGTTCCTTTGTTGGGCTTTTTTACACATGGGTGTCTAGCTGTTCTAGCAAGTTTGTTGAAAGATGAACTCCTGTGTGATTCTGTGGCAGAGTGCCGTATGGGACACTGCCCTGTGAGCAGCTTCCCTCCCACTCCCCCCACTGCCCGGACCCTGGAGGCGGGTTTTCAGCAAGTTCCAAGGCCAGATTCCCAGTCACCACGGTGACTTCTCTGCCATCCGGGGACCCACAGCTGCGCCCTCCCACCAGGGTCTCAGCCTGGGGCTGGGGGGCTCCAGCTCAGCCCTAGCGGATCTCCCCATGTCTGCTCTTCAGACCACGCCTCTGTAGCAAACTTCCCCTGTGTTCCTCGCCACGTGGCTCCTGTCACCTGATGGGACCCCGGCTGACACAGGTCACGTGCAAAAGAGGACACGAGCATTTTTTTTTTTTAAAGATTTTATTTATTTATTTGACAGACAGAGAGCACAAGTAGGCAGAGCGGCAGGCAGAGGGAGAGGGAGAAGCAGGCTCTCCGCTGAGCAGGGAGCCCGATGGGCTCTATCCCAGGACGCTGGGATCATGACCGGAACTGAAGGCAGACGCTTCACCGACTGAGCCACCCGGGCACCCCCACCAGCATCTTTATAAAACTCACCGAGACCCACTGCACCCCACACTTTGGACCACGTGGCTCACCCTCAGGCACCCAGTGTCCTCAACCAGATGGTCATTACCCTTGAACTTAGGGCCATGACGGCAGCACAAGAGAGTCCAGGTAGTTGGACCAGAATGAAGTTTAGGTCCCATAGGCCCCAGGGCATGTCCTTAGAGGAAAGAAGCCTCCTGCTCAGGAGGGTCAGGACAGAATCCTGAATATCCAGAAGGGATCTAGACGGCCCCACCCCCACCCTTTCGTCCTGGTCATTACCGAGGAGGTGGTTCAACCGCGGTGTGCCTCTCTGGGGGTGGCCGCGGTGCCCAGGCCAGGGAGAGGGCACAGAGATGGAGCCAGAAATCTCCATCAATGAACTTTGGAGAAGGCCATTCCGAGGCTCAGCAACGGCAGGAACCGTGGTGGCAGGACGTGGGGACCAGCCCACAGTGGGTGTCCTTTGTGATACAGGGAGCACGGCTGTCAGATTACAGGAGAGACCAGAAACACAGGGGCCGCGAGGGCGTGGCCAGCCAGCGGCTAAAAGCCCAGTGGCGAGGAAGGAGGCATTGCCCACAGCCCGGAGACGGGTCCAAGTCTGACGGAGTCAGTTTGCCCGGAGCTGGGGCTCACTGCCTGGGGACTGTGAGACAGGTGACCCCACCCTGGGCAGGAGTCCCATCTGGTGTGCAGTGACCACCTCTGCATCCGGAGTACAAAGTCCTGGGTGTCGCCGGGCATGGGGCCATGTGCGACCCTGGGGGCGACAGTGGCCGACTGGGCGGTGCAGCCGCTCGGGTGGTTAGAGAGCGGGCGCCCACGAGCGACCCAGAGACGGCCAGTGGCTGTCACTCCCACAGCGCATGGCGCCAGAAAGGGGAGTCTCTAATCTGCGATTTCGCGAGTGGCAGACTGGACTGGTTTCCTAGGGCTGTTGTGACCGAACACCGCAGACTGAACGGCTGAAGACAAAAGGAACGGATTCTCACAGGCGGGAGAGCAGCATCTGCAGGCAAGGAGTCCCTCCACAGCCTCCGGGGGACAGTCCCTGCCTCTCCCAGCTACGGTGTTGCGGGCCATCTTTGCTGTTCCTGGGCTCGTGGCTGCATCCCCACAGTCTCTGCTTACACTGTCATAGGCTGGCTGTCCCCCTGTGCGTTCCCCCTCTGTCTTCGTGTCCACATGGCCTTCAAAGGGCCTATTTCCAAAGAGGCCACGCTCTGAACTTCCAGGTGGATATAAATCTGGAAGGGCGGGGACACCCTCCAACGCAGTACACAGACCAAACAGCCCAAGAGTTAATGAAAATAGAGGGACCCCAAAATAAAAGTGGCTTAGTCAGGAGAAAAGTGTATTTATCTTTCATGTAGCGCTATAATGTAAGCACGCGAGGGCGGGGAGCCCATGCTGTCCAGGAACTTAAACTCCTTCTGCCCTTTTTGTGCTGGTGTCCTCAAGACATGGTTTCTGTCTTGGAGTTGAAAATGGCTGCTCCCCGTTCCAGCCTCACTGCCACGCTCCAGCCGTCACCTCCAGGCTCCAGCGGCACCTCCACGTCCAGCCGTCACCTCCAGCTCCAGTGTCACCTCCACGGTCCAGCGTCACCTCCAGCTCCAGCCGTCACCTCCACGCTCCAGCCGTCACCTCCAGCTGCAGCGTCACCTCCAGCTCCAGCCATCACCTCCACGCTCCAGCCATCACCTCCACGCTCCAGCCGTCACCTCCACGGTCCAGCCGTCACCTCCACGCTCCAGCCATCACCTCCACGCTCCAGCCGTCACCTCCAGCTCCAGCGTCACCTCCAGCTCCAGCCGTCACCTCCACGCTCCAGCCGTCACCTCCACGCTCCAGCGTCACCTCCACATCCAGCCGTCACCTCCAGCTCCAGCGTCACCTCCACGGTCCAGCGTCACCTCCAGCTCCAGCCATCACCTCCCGCTCCAGCGTCACCTCCACGCTCCAGAGTCACCTCCAGCTCCAGCCGTCACCTCCAGCTCCAGCCGTCACCTCCACGCTCCAGCCGTCACCTCCACGCTCCAGCGTCACCTCCACGCTCCAGCCGTCACCTCCACGCTCCAGCCGTCACCTCCAGCTCCAGCCGTCACCTCCACGCTCCAGCGTCACCTCCACGCTCCAGCCGTCACCTCCAGCTCCAGCGTCACCTCCAGCTCCAGCCGTCACCTCCACGCTCCAGCCGTCACCTCCACGCTCCAGCCGTCACCTCCACGCTCCAGCCGTCACCTCCAGCTGCAGCGTCACCTCCAGCTCCAGCCGTCACCTCCACGCTCCAGCCGTCACCTCCACGGTCCAGCGTCACCTCCACGCTCCAGCCGTCACCTCCACGCTCCAGCCGTCACCTCCAGCTCCAGCGTCACCTCCAGCTCCAGCCGTCACCTCCATGCTCCAGCTGTCACCTCCAGCTCCAGCGTCACCTCCAGCTCCAGCCATCACCTCCACACTCCAGCCGTCACCTCCACGCTCCAGCGTCACCTCCACGCTTCAGCATCACCTCCACGCTCCAGCCGTTACCTCCACGCTCCAGCGTCGCCTCCATGCTCCAGCCGTCACCTCCACACTCTAGCAAGGAGGAAGAGCAAAAAAGTGAAAAGCCTGCCTCTCCTTTTAAGGACCTGGAAATGCGTACCACTTCTGTCCCAGTCCCTGCAAGCCTAGTCACATGACCACCCTTGCTGCAGAAAAGTCTGGAAATGTAGTCTTCCTCTGGAGAGCCCGCGTCCCACTAAAACTCCAGGATGCTGGGACCCTGTAGTCTTGGGCACAAGTCACAGGAAAAATGGAGAAATGACTTAGGCCCCTGGACACATCGCCCTTCCAGATATAGCCCATCCCACTGCCCACCTTGGACTGAAGTCAGGAGTCACGTCGTCCCCTTCAGACAGGTGTTCTGGGAGGGGTGGAGAATGGGGAGCCCAGCACATGGTGGGGATGCCATCAGGCCTGGGGAAGGTGATGTCTGCATGAAGACCTAGAGGATGAGGGACGGGGGTGGGGGTGCGGCCAGGGAGGAGCTGGGTTCCAGGACAAGGAACAGAGTGCGCAGAGGCCCAGAGGCAGCAGACTGGACCAGATAGGAACTGTATGCATTCTAGCAGGGTGTGCAGTGGGAGGTCTGAGCTAGGCAGCAGGGTCCTGAGGGGCCTCAGTGGGGAGTCTGGACCCAGAACTTCAGCCCAGAGGGCCCAGGATCCCATGGACAGCTGCACAGACCAATGGCCAGTGGCTCAGCGGGCTCACTCTGGCTTGGAAATGGAGACTGGAGCAAAGGGGTTTGCCTGAGGGCTGCTGGGGGCCCAGGACCACCTCCCTGGCAGGCTGGGCGCTCCAGGCATGCAGGGAAGAAGGGCCACTATTTCAGTGTGGGGGCTTTGGAGAGGAGAGGAAGCCTGGAAGCTTTCGGGGCTCCAGTGCCAGCCCTTCAGGTCAGGGGATGGTGTGCAGGAGTCAGGGGGAAGGATGGGCTGGATACTGTCAAGAGCTCAGGGCCACCTCCCCAGGCTTGGGGCCATCTCTGTCTGCTCAGGGACAGCCAGGGGCAGGAGTTATGGGGCCCTCCCGACAGCGGTCCCAGCCTGCTCCTCACTGTGTCCTCTCCTCTCATAAGGGCCCCGGCTGGGATGTCGGGCCCATCCAGGCAACCCAGGGTGACGTCACCTCGAGATCCTTGGTTATCTCTGCAAAGGTCACAAGTAAGGCCACACTCATAGGTTCCAGGTGGACACAATTCCGTGTGGGGGCATCGTTCAACCCACCACAATGACAAAAGCAAATTACAAAGCAGTGTGTGTAGAATGAGATGGTTTTTGTTACGAACGTGTGTGTTGTTAGTGTGTGTGTGCGTGTGAGCATGCACGCCCTGGAATAGACGTACACGTGTCTCTGTTCTGTTTCGAAAGAGGCTGGTTAGCAGTGGCTACTTTGGGGGAAGCAGAGGGCTCCTGTCCAGTTTGTAATAATATATACCTGTATTTCAGTATTTTTAAATGGTCAAACCTTGCTTGTCTACTTCAGAAGGGGGCACGAGGGAGGGAGGAAGGGCCAGCCCCCCGCTCAGCTGAGGGTCTCGCAGCTCAGTGCGTGGCGGGCAGGGCAGGGCGGGGCTCGGGTCCAGCTCTGTCCCGCGGCGGGTGCGGCTTCCGGACCTCACAGGGGCAGAGAGGGCGTTTGGTGACTGGTGACAGGGCAGAAAACCATGTGACTGAGACAGATTGGCTGGGAATAAGCATGACTGTGACTATTTCCACAGTGATGACTTTGGTGTCACATGGGGATAGTTTGGGAAACTTCCATGTGATTCCATGGGATTTTTTTAGGGGCATGTGTGTGTAAACCCTCCTCCCTGTGTAAACCCTGTCATCATTTTTAGCTGATTGTGGCTGTTTGTTCTTTTTGTTACTGTGGGCTGAATCCTGTCCAGACCCAAATTCACATGTTGAAGCTCTCACCGCCCCCATGTGATGCTGTTAGGAGGGGGTACTGGGGGGTATGGGGTTAGTGCCCTTGTGAGCAGAGACCAGAGTTCTCCCCCTCCCTCTGTCTCTGTCTGCCCCCCACCTGTCCCCACGTGCGAGGGCACAACGAGAAGGCGGCCAACTGCAGGCCAGGAGAGTTCTCCCCGGGAGCCACCCTGACCTCACATCCTGCCTCCAGAACCCCGAGAAATAAGTGCCTGAGGTCTGAGCCGCAAGGCTGCACCGCTCTGTGTGGCCCAGCATCGCCCAGCGGTATGCACCTGCCCCCTCAATAGAATCAGAGTCCTCAATCCCATTCTTGGGGGCCGCTGGTCTGAGTTAAGTTTTAAAGGTGTTTTAACCTTGATGATACATAAAAGAAATCGTCCAACCATCGTAATAAAAATAAGCTTCCGTCTGGCCTTAGACTAGTTTTTCCCCAGCATCTTGGACTTCTTGAGGGGTATCATGCTGGGCTGTGGCCCCGGGGGACTGGGCGGGGGGCGGTCCTGGGGCAGACCCGAAGGGCCCCAGAGAATGGGTTTCTCCTTTAGAAGGGGCCGCAGTTGATCTGAGCACCCAGGGCCGCAGGGCCATTTTATGGGCTGCACCATGTTCTGTTGCCTGATGGACCCTAATTTATGTAACCAGTTGACTCTTGATGGGTATTTAGGATGAGCTTTCTCCTTCCTGAGCGAGGCTGGGTGAGTGACCTTCTGGCTGGATCTGTACCCATTCCTTAAATATTAACTTCAGGACAGGATCCTGCAGGTGACATTCTGGGTCAAAGGCTTTATCTCCCTCGTTTTCACGATAAACACTCTGCAGAGCCCCACCCAACTGCCCCACTGGGGCCCCTGGCTAGTCTTGGGGGTGTTCAGCTGGTTGCTTCCCTACCGCCCCTCACCCCCACCCCTTCTTCTTTCAGTCCCAGAATGCATCTGCTCTTGCCTGCCTCTGAGCTTTTGTGAATGTTGTTCGCTCTGCCAGGACTTCCACACACCCCCCACCCCCACCCGACAGAGGCCTTCTGGGTCTGACAGGTCACTGGACCCCCTGGATGCTGGGACTCCCTGCAGACCCCACCCCCACCCATGTCTGAGCTCCCTGCACCCAGGGCCGAGTCTGCCTCTGTCCCAGACCTCCCCTTGGGAGCTCAGGACCTCCAAGACTGGGACCCGGGAGAAACTCCTGCAAGACCAGCAGGGGTTTCTGGTGGGGCTGGAGAAGGAGGGGAAGGGGAGTGGAGTGGAGGACAGGGGCCCCAGTTAAGTCTTCAGAGGACCGCAAGCCTGGCTGACATTTTGACACAAGGTCAGAGTGACCCTGAGTCAAAACTGCATCACCGAGCTGCTCCTCAATTCCGGACCGTAGAACCATGCAAGGTTTTAAGTGTCTCTACCTTAGGGTCACCCAGCAATGGATAAGGAATACAGGAGGCTTTTAGAATTGGATGCACGGAAAAGCATCGTCCATGGGGAGACTATCCTGAGAAAAAGAAGAACAAAGGACAAGGAGTCTAAAAGGCATTTTATTTAATCTATTTATTTTTAGAGAGAGAGGGGTGAGGGGCAGGGGGAGAGAGAGAGAAGCAGACTCTGCACTGAGCACTGACCCCATCCCAGGGCTCGAGCTGAAATCAAGAGTCGGATGCTTGGGGCGTCTGGGTGGCTCAGTCGGTGAAGCATCTGCCTTCAGCTCAGGTCATGATCCCAGGGTGCTGGGATCAAGCCCTGCATCAGGCTCCCTGCTCGGCAGGGTTATGCTGCTCCCCCTGCTTGCGCTCTCTCCAACCCCTTTCTCAAATAAATAAATAAGATCTCAAAAAAAAAAAAAAAGACGCTTAACCGACTGAGCCGCCCAGGCGCCCCCCCAAAAAAGCATTTTGAAGAGAACTCCTCAGCACCTGGAGAATCAGATCAGTGCACACTCCTTGGCAGGAGCTGGAAGCCTCCCAGGGTCAGCCCCACCAGCTCCCACCCCCTCTCCCCCGGGCCCCTGCTGCGTGTCCCATGCCAGACACACACAACTTCTTGGTCCTTGAGAGCCTCCCACTCTCTCTTTTCTGGCCTAAAGTTCTCTTCTCCCACTTCTTGCTCTGGTGTTCATCTGTCAGGCCATGGGTGAGACCTCACCTCCTGCAGGTAGCCAGCCTGGATTGCAGCCCCGCCACCCCCACTGACCCCCACCCCCTGGCAGAGCCAGCTGCTGGCCGGGCCCCCACACCTGCACACACGGTCAGCTTCCCTCTTAGGCCCAAGAACAGTGAGCTTCTGGTGCCTTATGCTCCAGCTTCTGGAACCAGCACAGAGTGCCATGAGTGAATTTTCTGGGGCCTCTGTAACAGATGACCAGAAAGGGTTACTTACAACAGCAGAACTGTATTCTCAATGATCTGAGGCTGGAAGTCCAAAATCCAGGTGTGGGCAGGGCTGCGCTCCCTCGGGAGGTTCTCGGGAGGGTGCTTCCTGCCTCCTTGGGCTCCCGCTGTCTCCAGGTGCTCCTGGGCTGTGGCCTCTCCCTGTGTCTGTCTGTCTCTTCTTTTGCATCTCCTAGAGGGACACTGGTCATTGGACTTAGGGCCCACCTAAATAATCCAGGATGACCCACTCATCTCAAGATCCTTAGTTCAATGCATCTGCAAAGACCTTTTTTCCAAATAAGGTCGCATTCCCAGGCACCGGGGTAAGGATGTGGACACCGTCCAGCCCACTCTAGGTGCACTAGACACCCACGAGCCCCTCCCTCTGCCAAACAACTGAACTCTGGGGCCTGGAGCCCCGGGGACTCCCAAGACCTTCTCCACCAACGAGGGAGCCAACTGATGTCTGTTGGGGCAGGTGCGTTGGGCAGGCAGAAGGCCCTGGCCCCCGAGGGTGGGTGCCCCAGCTCTGTGGGGCTCCCCAGCTCCCCACCCGCACAGCTGCAATCTTTCCCAGCACCCCTGATTCAGATCAGCAGAATTCCCACAGATTAAGGTCAAGAGAACATGTATTCAAACGTGCACAAGCCGGTGGGCAGTGACCCACCACGAGGGAGAGAACACGGGAAAACCGACATCAGACGTGGGCCCCCGAGAACCTCAGTCCCAGGCCTCGGTGGACGCAGGACAGCCCAGGGGAAGCACCGCGAGGAAAGGAGGGATCACGAGGTGGTAGAGCAACACCAAGGAGCTCGGGAGATCCACCTCCTTCCCCCCGGGCTGCAGCGGTGGTCCAGGCCTGCCTGGCGGGCAGCGCTCACAGGGATCGGAGGCCTCCTCCCGGAGGAGCCGAGCAGTGTGGGTGGTTAGTGACGTGGGTGCGGGAGGGCACGTGTTCAATAGACTGGACTGACGCTCCAGCTCTGGGAAGCTTCAGCCCCTGGGAAGGATCTGCAGTTGGATGTTCATTATTTATTCGTTCATTCAATATTTACTGAGAACTCCACCAACACTCAGGACCTGGGAATGGAAAGTAAGCAAAACCTCTGCCCCCAAAACCAAAACCTCACAATGTAGCAGAGACAGACTCATGTTAGCTTAGCTGTGCCGTGGAGCCATGAGAAAGTGTGAGTCCCGGGGAGGGTCCCATCCAGGCAGGGATGGTATTCTGGGCCTCACCGATGGCTAGGGTTCTTCGGGACAAGGAAGGACCCACGGGCAGGGGCAGCTCCAGGCAGGTGACAAGGTGGACTTGGTGGCGTGCAGAGCCCAGACTGCAGAGGGAAGCCTAGGGTCCAGGTTCCATCCTCTAGGAGAGGAAGCAGGGTGAGGGGATGTCCATGGAGGCGGCGGCCAGCCCTACTCCCTCCCAGCCCTGCCAGGGCTCCTGGGACGTGGGGGACACGCAGTTGCTGCTAGCTGGCTGTCCATGCCCCTCAGGACAGACAGCTCCAGGCCCCTGAGTCCCAGCGCCCGTTGCCCCATTGGCTATAGGTGCACTCAGCACATGACGAGCTAGGATGAGCTGCTCCCTCCTCACCTCTTGCTCCAAACCCCTAGTGGAATCTTGGTGATTTCTTGTGGCTCTTGGAACTCAGGGCAGTTAGTCCCCAAGAAGGCGTTGGCAAGGGCCCGGGATGCAAGGGTGAATTCCGCCTCACCCTGCACGTACCGAGATGCATGCAACCATAGATTACTTGGCCGGTGGCTAAGGCAGAGAGACAAGTATGCAGAAGAAAGGCTCACCTGAGCTGGGAAGCCTAGGGGGGCCTCCTGGAGGAGGGAGCTCCAGAGCTGAGTCCCAGACGAGATCTAAGGGAACTGAGGAGGGGAGGCGTCAGTCAGGAGTGGGGCCAGCAAAGAGACCTGGCCAGGACACCTTGTCTCTGTCTGTCTGTCTCTGTCTCGTTTCCCCAGAGGTGCCCCCCGCCCCCCGATCC